CCATCATTCTACATCCACCCAAGAGGCCTGAGGGAGCAAAAATAATCATTTTAGAGAATAGAGTGGCTGATTACAGTATAACCTAAATCTTATCAATCCCTTCTTTCCAGTAGTAAAATAATATTTACTAGCCTCAATATTTTTAACATCTGTCTTCACTCCCATGTTCTTGGGTTTAGTTTCTGCTGGTTATTAGCTTATAGACCCTTCTAAATTCTTAATTGTATTCTATCTAGAGTGATTGGAGGACCTGCTCTTAACACAGTTTTAGAAGTCTTGAAAATCAGCCACTTACATGAATGCATCGATGAGCTGAACAAGGCTAGGAGGAGAAGAAGGGATCCAACACCCTCCGTGTGCACTAGGGTGAGCTCCATGCACCTTCCCTGCTTCCAGTGAGGGATAGATAAGGTTAGCCAATGCCTTCCTTTTCAATGAATGAATGAATGAACTATAATGTGATAAAGTTCAGATATATCCAAGTATTCATTTTAGGGGTGGTAGGTTCAGGCCTGTGAACATATGGCTGTATACCACCTCCGTCCTTTGGTGTGGGACCACATGGTCCCGATAGGCAGTTGTGCTTAGCCTGAAGTCTGCATTGTAGCTGCTCTTGTCATATTATTATTTTATATTCTCAGTCATTTTGTGTTTTATTTGCTGCTTGAACAATAACCCAAAATAAGCAGATATGTGTTCCAGAATAGGCTATAACCTTCTCTAGACAGTCATGTCAAGTTTTCGCCTCCTTAATATTTAATAAGAAGAGGGGAGAGAGAAGTAGCTTATACTTCTGGGAAGGTTCTATTGGACCAGACACTGTGCTACTTTAATCATCACATTTAATCTTCATTTCACAACCAAGCACATAGGGGTAAGGGCAAGTTGGGCCCCAGCTCAGTCATACGGCCGGTGGTGGAATGCAGGGAGAGGATGCTCTGTGCCTCTCGCCTCTCCCTGAGCTCCTGTATGGCATGAAGAGGCAGCTCCATAGCCTACCAGGCAGGCACTCAGGAAGATGATGCCTAGAAGCACAGGAAGAATCACAACTCTGTGGAGAAAGCTGTTAGCAGAAGAAACTGAGGCCTCCTTCTCTGGAGGTGGAGAACAAATGTGCTGAACTGTCCTTTCTGTCATTAATGACTGGGCTGTTGAACACCACCGCACTATTATTGTTTTCCAGGCTGACACTTGGCCGGTTCTTTTTCTTCTTTACTTTCAAGCTAGTAATTAGATTTAAATCTCTGACAGCCCTTTAACCATCACTCCAGGGGGTTCTAGGTTTCTTTACTATTGCTTGCAAAGATTTCATTAAAAAAAAAAAAGCCCTTTGAAACTGTAAGTTACACTCAGCACCAGTTTAAAATCTATTATTTTATTATGTTTTTGAAGAACACATGCTGCTCTCTCTCATCTCACCTTGAGTGCTCAGCCCTCATTTTTATCTCCAACTTGAAGAATCAAGCACTCAGGAGAACCAGGGAAGGCAGAATCATAAATGTTGTTTTCCACAGCACCTGTCACTGCCAGTTTCACTGGCCAGTCTCCAGGTACTTGGACTGTGTTGACTCAGGAATTTTGTTTTTAATATTCATTTTCTACATGTAGTGAGAATTATTACAGTGGCTTTGCTTCTCAGAGGAAAAATAAAGAACTATTCTTTACAGGAATAAATGAATCTCGCCCTCGGTGCCGGTTGCTACAAGCACAGCATTCAGAGGCCTGGTTTCATATTGAACTGTTTATCCACCTTCGCTCTGCTCTCCTCGGACACCCACACTGATTTGTGACGCAATGAAGAGGTTGTGGTTGTGGAAGACAGCTTTTTTCTGTGTAAGGCTATCTTATCCAAATGGAGCCCTTTAAATCCTTTGAGAAACTAGACAGGTCGTATAAGTAAAGGGCTCAGGTGAGGAACCCTGGTCTCATTAACACATGTTACAGCACCCAAGTGGCCTCCCAGGGGACCCAGTCATTCAAGAAAAATCTGTTCTTAGACCTTTTTCATTACTTCATATTATGACTCCTGTGGGAAATCCCAGTTGCTTTTGAGGAAGGAGACAAAAGAGTTTGTTGATCTCAGTACTGAGTCTGTTCATACAGAATGAAAGATGACCCACACCAGAGGATGAGATTTGGTACCTATCCAGTCAAATCCTTTTGCTAAGTATTTTCCAGGAGACTATATTTAGTACTTTCCAAAAGATACAGATAATACAAGACACTGAACTTTACTAAATGTGATGTTTTGAAAAAAATGAAAAAAATGTTGTGTGTAATTTCAGGTACAATTCTTTCAGGTAATTAATAAAATGTCCCATAAGCTATCATCAGGTTACAACTTAAAGAAAGTTTCCACAATTTTCTGACAGCTTTGTTTGAATGGAACTCAGAACACTGGTATTTGTTGATGGTTTCAAATATACTCCTGCTTAGGATCCAGGGTAATATTTTCAGCTCCACTAACTAGTTGTTGTTACTAGAAAAATCCTGTTGATAGCCGGGCACATAGCAAAAGGTGTGAGAAGACATGGCCTCTACTGAATTCAGGATAACCAAGCTTTTAAATATCTAAGATATATGCCTAGCCAATGAAACCTTGAGAAGTGAACACCTGATACCACTGCAGTGAAGAGAGGTTTCTTCAGGTAACCAAATATATGCATCTTCTAACCTGCAGAAATGAGGCTTATGAACATAAAGTTCTAAAACTGTCTGGCTATGCAGGGGGTGGAAACTCTCTGGAGAGTGAGAAACCTTCTATAACTGCTGCCTACAAGGCGAATTGGAGCCAATCCACCATGGGCTCTCCCCCAGCGGCGTGGGGCACAACTGTGAGAGAAAGAGGTATAGATAGCAGTGGAGAGAGTGAAACTTTTGGAATTTTCTGGTGACCCCTGGCATGAAAAATATATTTTCCCCATGGAATCTATTATCTATACAATGAATGATAACCTTGAAAGTTCATTTCACCTTTAATGCAACTTAAATATACCTCCAAAACAATGTTTTTAATAAAAATAACTGTTGTGCTTTTTTTTACTGTTTAATTGTAGATCACATTTTGCTTAACTTCATAGACCAGACATTTATTCAATAAACATTGACCAAACAGACAAGGAAAGAATGCTTTTTAATAAAAATGATCTTTGTGGACTTTAATAAAAACATCTTTATGGACTACCTAAAGAGCCAAGTTATTATTTATTTTAAAAATAAAGAAGTAAAAAGCTTCCATAGACTCATGTTTTAAGCATCAGCTTTTATCAGATAAAATTATTTCAAGGGGAGAATCCTAGAGCCCAGCACCATCTCAGGGCATTGCAATGTCTATAACTGAATGATAGCAGAGGTTTTGTAAATCTGCAAAGCTAGCCAGAAGATTGACTTTTGATTGCACTTCTCAGACTATAAATTATTTCTCTCCAAGTTGAACTCCTTTCCAAGCAAACTAGTAAAATCCAAATTGGTGAAAAGATATTGGTTTCCCACAACTGACTACAACCAGCATCAACGAGTTACTACTTTTAGTCCAATGACTAGTAAATAAATGACCATTAAGTAAATGAAATGTTAATCATTAAGTCCACTATTACTTCTATGCAGTCTGAGCAGTCTTCAATGGTAAATAGTCCAATTATTCATAGGTTAGGTTTAACTATATCAGTTTCTACTGATTTGATGGATGAGTACTTGATTCTGAAACTTAAGTATGAAAACTAATTGTTGTGTGCAAATACTGGGTATAGAGTTCTGACATACCAAACTCTGCTTAAAACTCTGAGCTACTGGTGAAATCATGTTCTGTCTTATGGTGTTACCATAATTCATTATTTTCTAAAGCTGTCAAACTTGAAGGCTTGCACCAGAGAGGTACTGCAGAAAACTGAAATCCTGTTGCATCCTACCTCCGTGGGAGTTCTAATCAGGTTGCCTACAATTCTGTGCCACATGGAACAGCTTTCAGTGCAGGAGGTAAGCCATTAAATGCTTTCTGATCTCCATTAGTTACTCTGCTGAGAGTGAGAAAGTCCTCATAAATGCATAAAAATTAAATTGCTTAAGAGGTAAGGAGTGAGGTGGTATTTTGCTGCCAAATATTATTTTTTTGCTCAGATGGTCTACAATCACGCATATAATGTGGAATCAGAGTACATACCTGTGAGGAATGCAGCACTAAGGATCCTGGGCCCGAAAATCTAATGACACAATCTTGTCATCTGGTTAACAGTTCCCTGATTTGGCTTCAGGCAAACTTCCCTTCTGTCCCCCACCCACGTCCCAGATGGAGCCTATATTCTCTATTCCAGGTTAGACAGGGAGCTCTGGCGGGCCCAGTTATTTGCCCAGGTGCAATCCGGGGTGGCGAGGACTCTTGGGGAAGAGAGATGTATTCCCTTTTCTGGCTGCTACTTTCTCTGAATTGGGATCAGCCATCTTGTCATCGTGCGTAAGGCGGCAAGGGAAGGCAGCAAGGTGAGCAAGGCTGAACGCTGGCGAGATGTGGAGTCTTTAGGACAATGTTGGGGGGTGCAACATCCGTTGCACATGTGGAGGTACAGTTACATTTGCCAATGAATCCCCTGTTTGCCAGGTTTAAGATTTCAGTCTTGGAAGAAATTGATTTCAATCTATAAATAGGAGGAGCTAAGAGACAGATAAGTGGTTTGTGCAGGTCCTCTGCCGGTGAGTAGCCTAACCAGGATGAACACCTATATTTGCATTTTCATGTGATGTTTTCACTAGATCATGGGAAAAATTAACAGATGAAACTTGTTTTAAACTTTACATTAAATCTTTGCTTTGAGTGAAGGTTTATTTGCTAGGTACTATACTGTAAAAGAGAATGGATAAATCAATTATTCTAAGTCATCCTTTCCATCGTGACATGGAAAACATGGAAATAAACATGGACAACTTGGAAATACATTAATATACTAAATCTCTCAGATATGTGCTTGTGTTCTGCTGTTACCGCAATGGAAATTACCCAACAAAATAGCTTAAAATGTTTTATTAAGTATATATAATATTACAGGGTAATATTTACAAAGTTATGTTTTTAAATAAAAAAGTACCTTGGCAAAGATTGCAGATATTCAAAGCTTCAAACAGTGATAAATTGATTTAATACATATAAAAAAAACCTTTAACGGTAACACAGCTGTAAAACAACTTTGGTCTTTAAATCACTGCAAAAAATGGCTACTGACAAATAGCACACCTTTAATTGCTATGGAAAAAGCCCCCAGGAGAGGATCTTGCACATAGCAACACTGGAGTTTTCTTTATTTAGAATGGTTAATGGATATTTATATGGTGTGGGATCTAATTCTCAACAATGGCTTTTTGTAAATAACGCTCTGGCTAATAAAAACTAAAATGTTTCCCCTCTCACCAACCATGTTAACAACACTTTTAAGATTCCACTGATGTCTTATAGAGAAGCTTATTACAAATGCCCTCTTTTATTTTTCCAAAAGACTAAAGGTAATGGAAACTTGGTCCTAAATGATAAGAGCTGTCAAAAGCCAAATGCAGGAAAACTTCCTGTTCACTGCTCTTTTCTGGAAAGTTAACTGGATTATCCCTATTAGCCACTGAAAATGACATAACAAAGTGGGGTGTGGGTGATGGCAGTTAGTGATTTTGAAAATATGATAAAGGTAAAACTAATGTTTCTAAACAAATTCTCCGTCAAACACAATAAAAAGATAAAGGTTGCCCAAAATCATTTCTCCAGTTTCCAATGACAAGTAAACAAACAGGTACGTATTCCATACATACACAAGATCTCTGGTTCTGAATACCTATTTTAGGACAAGAAAAATCTATAAGGTGATATAGAGCTTACCTTTTATAAATGAAATGAAGTAGTGAACTTATTATCACTTTTTGAGCTTTACTAACTCAAACCACAATTTGGTTGGTCACTTACAAAATTGACAACAGCATCCTAAAAAAGAACAATACTCTCAACTAGGGGGGTATCCCCATTATTTTGATCCTCACATTCTCAGAAATTTAAACAGATGGATCTGAATTTTCCTAGTGAAAAACTGTCACCTTTTAAGGTTTTCAGAACATATGAAAGTTATTAAAAGAAGAAAACTCTCTAGCTCACCCTGTTAAAAATAGTGGGAAATCTACTATTTCATATAGTCAACTCTCAAATATCAAACTTATATACTGAGCAGCTAATATATGCAAAACACTGCAGGAAGAGAAAGGAAGACGTAAAAAAGAAAGCTCTCGCTAGGGAGGAATTTTTAAATTGAGTGAGAGAAGCAAGGTGAAAACAAAACAAAACAAACAAAACCCACAAGAGCTATGCAGGATCACATGACATACTAGGAAAGGTGAGAGATGCAAAAGGCAGCTAGACAGATGGGGTTGACTGCAAAAGAGAGCCAGTGGGGAGGGAGGGCAGGAGGATAATGTTTTGAAGGCAGGAACAAAGTCTGATTTGGCTGAAAGGTCAGAAAGGTTGTTGTAAATATGACAAGTGGTGTCACTCTGAGAACGTACAATAAAGAAAGTTGAATGGGCGGATAGGCCACAAAATTGGGATCAGTGAGGAAAAGCAGATGGGGGGAAGAGGGGCAGATATCTGATGCTCACACATCATTAGCAATTTAAATTTGCTATGGCAGAGAACTGGGAGCCATGACAAGACTAATTTAAAAAGAATGAACTGGCCCAAGGATGCCCAAGCAAGGGGGCTCCTGCTGCTCTGGTCCCTTTTCTAGAGAATCTGACAACTAGGAAGAGCAAGAGTTGATTTTATCTGGCATTTCTCCTGCTACCTCTGGAAGGTGTCTAGGGCAGTGAATGCCTCAAAAGTAGGCAGCATTAAGAGAACATAAACATTGGAGACATCCCAAGACTGAACTCCAAATAAATGAGAATTTATGACATATTAAAAGGTAAACTTTAGTTTATAAAAGAGTTTGCTATAAAGATTTTCATACCTTTTCCTTAATAGAGAACAAGAATTTAGAGTTTTTTCAAGTTCATCTGTTTTTCCCCCTCCATCAAAGTTGATCACTCAAGTAACAAATAACATCAGTAAAGTATAAATATTTTCGGAAGGAAAAAGAGCAACAGGAGTCATCTAATTTTTATAAAGGAATGCAGTCCCCTCTACACAGGCTATTATTTTGGCCAGCAACAGAATTAGGGAAGAATTTTTTTTGTTTGTTTTTCAAGAAGAGCTGTCTTTTGTGTATTCATTTTCCAGTGTGTTTACAGTGTTACTCAGTTTTCTGAGTAACATCAGCAGGTCATAAATTTAGGTTTGCCCTGAGCAAACCACTTGGACCCAATATGATATATGACAGTTAATTTGGAATAAAAGAGGCACATGAGAACACTCAATGGACTAAGAATTAACTATTAATAATGCAACTACAAATATGAATGTCTTATTATTACACAAATAGGAAGAATAATTAGTATTTTTAGAGGTTATTGGTGAGCAGTCAAAAAACTGGGCAAATTACCTACAAGATTTTAATGATCAAATATTTGCATCAAATATAATTCCACCGAATAAAGATCTTTGTTTTTAAATGTTTTTACTAAAAGCATGAAATTAACATTTGCTCTCCTGTAGGTACCCCACTTTTGTCCATACAGAAGATGCCTGTGCCTATCTTGTACATGAGCACATACGAACACACACCCACAAAGGAGGAAGACGAGTGCTAATAATCTATAAGTACTCCAGGCGACCACAACTGTCAGAATGTTAATTTTCTTCTAAAGGGGTGGGAAAAGTGGGGGTTTTGTTTTACCTTTCAATCTTAGAGTAAGGGGAGTACGAGGCAGGACTACAGGAGGAAAGTGATGAGTGTTTATCATGCAACAGAGATACAACAGTAAGAAAACCACCCTCGCAAGGGCTGGCCCATTGGCCTGACGGTGACACACATTATGTTGCCATGCAGAAGACTCATAGTTCAAATCTCAATCTTCGTTTTTCATGCCCCAGATCAGAAAAGAAGTGAAGAAACATTATTGATTGTGCCTTCAAATCAGAGGAAGGGAATACATATGTTACAACCATTGCTACTTTTGCTGAAAAGTGAACATAGTTCTTTGAGAACAAGTCTGGCTCCTTTCTGCAATGATGCTACTGTGTCACTGGACCATGTTCAAAGAGGAGAAAAGGTTCTATGTCTTGTACAGCAGAAGCAAATAACAAGGGGACAAGACAGGCTATACAGGTTGTGCGAATAAAGGAAAAACACATTCATTGATAAAATTATCCTAAAAATCTGCAAAAGATCTGTTACATTGCAAGTTGAAGGAAGAATGGGAAAGGCAACCCCCAGGAAGGAAGACCATGACCTCCACATCGGTACCATGTCACACAAAGGTGACATACAAGATGCTCCCAACCAAATTTCTGTCCATACTAACAGGTTATTTCTTTGACCTAGAAGTGGCAGACATATTACTTAGTCACCACCACAGATGTCAAAGCTGCTAGAAATCTGAGTTTGCTAAGGTTAACTGGAAGCCACTGTTGTTCATAGATACCTCTGTTACTAATTGATCAGGTAATTCTCACCTTGAGCCAATTTACACTTGTGGCCTAGAGTCAAGGACGCTAATATCTGAGAGACGTCATTCTTGGGAGTTGCCCACTCTAATTTTTGCCCCTAATTGAGTAAAAATAACAACCAGAAACAAAAACAAAAACAAAAAAAACAACCTAAACTGGATCTCAATTGGGCACATACCACATCGTGATTCTTTTATTAACTAAATTACATATGCTTTGAATAAAAACTGTAACAATCATTTTAAGGGTCAATGAATTATATTCTCTCACAGATGAATACCATTTATGTTTCTTGTTTTCTTCTCTTGAACAGTGAATCAAGGCCATGGTGCTTAAACACAAGTGTACTCCTTTCACATCTTACTCATCTCCAAATCGGAGTCCATCACTTCACTTCAGTTATTCTGCAAAGTTGAAAAAGGAACACATTATCATAATCTATCTCTATTTTCTATGCATTAACATGCTGATGTATTTTTGAGATTTGGAATTGCCTCATGTACACAGTATCCTAAAATTATATTTACAAATCATTAGCCTTTTTAGTTACAGTAAGTAAAAGGTCAATCCCAAATGAAAATGCAAATCAACTGAGTTTGATGCTTTCCATTTCCTGAGTTAGCTGAGGAAAACCTAAGAGTGGCTGATTTTTCAAAGCAAAAGATATCAACCTTAGAATAACATTCTATCACATTTACTTTAGATACATCATTCATTTAATGTCAGTGAAATAAACATGTGATTAGGTGTGGCCCTTGGGTATAGAGGTGCACCAAACCTTACTGACTGACAAAGTGGGTACATTATTGACATTGTTGTCAATAGGAAGACTTTTTTTAAAATAAATTCTGAACAGATAAATAATAGTAAAATTAAGATCATCTGAAAGTTCCACATTGATTTCACATGCTATGAAGTCTGCTTTATAAAGTGTCTCCTTATACGGTTCGAAAAAAGTTACATCTCCAGGAAAATGAACAAAGGAAATTGTTATCAAGGTTTTCCACTGGCTTTCTGACAATGGAGAAAAGGAATTTAGTTTTTTCATAGAAGTACAGAAGAATGACACCATGGTAGGAAAAGAAAAGAACAAAGAAATAAAAAAAGTAGAAAACCAGAATGCAAACATGGACAAATCACACAATTTCAGGTGCCAATTACTTTTTTAATGTCATGTAATTTGTAACTACAAACTATAATTTTTTCCAGAGGGCAGTGGCAAGTTTAATAAATGCATTTTTACAATAAAGGCTATGATAAAAGTCTACAAAAGATTGTTTTGTGACTCCTGTTGAACACAAGCCTAAACATATTTTAAACATAATTCACCAACTTAAACGTTTTACACTTAGTTTACCAACACAAAGTTGGCATATTTTTAATCTTATGAAAAAACTAATTGTACTCAGGGGGTGTGGTATCTTGGGTTAAAAGCTGCTCTTTACTATAAAGGAGAGCAAGTTGGTCACAAACTTTAAAACAGCAAAATAGAAAGCAAACTATTTATAGAATCAAGGAGTGACAGTACATATCAAAAGTATGAAGACAAGGAAAAACTCATAAGGCTGACAGAACTAAAGAATCACAAAGTTAAAATCAAAGTGAGCACTCATGGCACTCACTATCTCTGCCTTAACTTTTAGAAATAACAAGTATATGTGTTTGGCACATTCCATAAAAATTAAGAGTTAAAACCTTAGTGTTCCAAGCAATACAGTGAAAACTCAAATTGATGAACATTTTTATTTCTTTTTTAAAAAATCTCCCAAAATGTTATAACCAATTCTTGCTTGGGAAAGCAGAGATATTAAGTCCATGGGTTTTGAAAGCAAATAAATCAACAACACAAGCACAAAAGAAATTGTGAACATTACAAAGATTTAGACCAGCAAACCTATGTGTCTTATAAAAAGCATTTGAAAATTACAGGCATCTGGTACTGTGTCTGGAAAACTTTTTTTTTTTTTTTACAAAGTGTGCTTGCTTTCTGCTATGAGCAGTATAACTAGATTCTATTAGTGATACTCTACAGTTTTTATATGACTAGTTTTTCAATTTTTAACAGAAAATTTCAGTTTTATAACTTAGGAAATGTGGACTTTTATAATTTGACAGGCTCCTTTTTATTTAAAAGGAATTTTTATTGAAAATCACTTGTATTCCAGAAGTTATCTGATTTCACTATTTTTCATTGCCTATATTTAACCAATTTATAACTGTAGATACATTTTGTACTTACCATCATTCATCATTCCTTTTGGTTCTTTAAATGCTAAGAATTAGTAACAAGCCAAGCAGACAGTTAGTAGGATTACACAATTAGAAATCTTTCTAAACAAATAAATATGCACTAAGATCATGCCAACTATTTCATAGCTACAGAGCCAGATTAAGTTTAAAGCTTCTTTTGGTTACAAAAGCATTTCTGTGAATCATATCCACAGCCTCCACAAAAGAAACAAATTCAGGTGGAAATAGAAGTCCAAATTTAGGGAAAAAGAAAGTAAGATATTTTGGTCCCGCTCCATGCTAAGACCCTGTTTCTTTCTGAAATTTGTAAATCAGAAACTTAAATTAATTGAGATGCTTCCCTGCAGGGACATTACTGTTCATTTTAGCCAATATAAAAAAGGCAATGGTCCTTTCGCCCAAGTATCATTTGACTAGTGCAAATTATGTGGTGACACAGAACAATGAGTGAATTTTTTCCCCAAAGGTGAGAACATTACAAAAGGTTGATCAAGATTAAAAAGCATTAGTTTTCCCAAAGCATAGATGGAATCTTTTCACTTCTTGGGCCAGCTCAAGTTATGATCTGGTAATGGATCAAGAAGAATATACAAGTTTATAATAACCACATACCATTAAGGGGTTCCTCTACAGCTTTCTGGAAAATATTTAAAATATATTTACATAATAGAATCTTATTTCATGTCCTTTTATACTAAAATTTATTTATGCTAACATTTAAACTATATAGCAAGCATGAATCCTATAGTCTAAAATAAAATAAGACAGCAAAGGTCAAGAAAGCAAGCTTGCCAACTCTACCTAATAGCTTAATAATAATTGTATTAATCTCCTAGTATTCTTTCTTTATGCAGAATTCCCCATCCCACTTTACCTATGTTCAAGAAATTCTAATTTATCAAATTATTAAAGTGCAAGCATAAATAGCGATATAATACATAAAAATATAGTTAAACAAGAGACGAGAGCAAAATAGAATCATTTGCAAATTGCAATTAGTTACAGGGAAAGAAAATGTGTTAGGATTTAAAGGCTTAATGGTTAAATTATCATTAACAGACACATATCAAAATCTGCTGGCTTTGGCACCAGTCTTTTCTGAATAAATATCTGTGACAAGGCACACATCCTTTGACTTTTAGTTGTGTCTACTGAGGCTTGTTGGATTTAGGAGCATGTGCAATCTTCACTTCCTACTACAAACAGTCTTGCTTTGGCATTCCATATAGACCCATTATTAATCCTTTAGACCCATCATTAATCCTTTAGAGGGAGATGAGTTCAATATAGTCCTTTGTTGATCTTTTTGTTAAATAACTCTTTAATCTGTCACCATGAGTCTCTACTTAAAACATTTTTTTCCCACCTACCTACCATCTATTCTTTAGTTTACCACCTAGTTTTTCTTCTTTCTTTGGGACTTTCTCAGATAGTTATTAAAGTTTCCAAGATACACTAGCCCCCCCACCTTTATAATGAAGTTATGCTTTCTATGGTTTCAGTCTATGATCTGTGATCACCATGATATAAAGATTACATATAATAAGATATTTTGAGAGAGACTACATTCATGTAAAATTACTTTTATTATAAATACAAATTTTTATTATAGTATATTATATAATTATTCTATTTTATTAATCTTCACTGTGCCTAATTTAGAAATTAAACTGAACTATAGATATGTATGTATAGGAAAAAACATAGTGTATATAGGATTCAGTACTATTTGTACTTTCTTGTCTCCACTGAGGGTCTGCAACCTATCTCCATGTATTAAGGAAAGCAATCAAGATGTGCTTGAGGCAGGCAACTGGAGGCTCCTCACTACCTTTCCCTTCCAGGAATGTATATTTTACATGCTTTCCCTGCTCTCAGAATCTGGTCAAGTACAGATCCCTGAGACAAATGTGTTGCAAAGACCATACAGATGGTGGATGTGATTAATATCAATTAAATTTTCTGTATATACTTTTAAAGATTTGGGAGAGGGACATGGAAACAATCATATCTACTATGTATCTATCTATGTATCTATATATCTATGTATCTATGTATGTTTGTATCTATCTATGTGTCCAACATAGGAGTATATATATATGTACACACAAATATTAACAGATATAAAGGGAGAAGTTGATAGTTACACAAAAATAGTAGGGACTTTAACACCTTACTCACATCATCTGTCTTCTAGACAGAATATTATTAGTGAAACGTTGGTTTTTAAATGTTACATTACCCAAGCCATACATAAAAGACATGTAACAGGATATTCTACATAAAGGCAGCAGAATGTGTATGCATCTCATTTGTACATGGTTTATTCTCACAGAGAGATGACATGAACAAGTCTCAATAAATTTAAGAAGAAAAAATTCAAATATCTTTTCTGAACATAATAGTATCACGTTAAAATCAAGTACTAAAAGAAAACCAAAAAATATGTAGAACTTAAGCAATGTGCTACTCATGAAAAACTGCTGGGTCACAAAGAAATCAAGAAGGAAAATATCATAGACAAATATAAATACTATATACCAAAATCTTTGGTGTGCAGCAATAACAGTATTGAGAGGTGTCATATGGCAATATAGACTTATCTCAAGAAAAATCTCAATTAAATGATCTAACTTTATAGCTAAAGGAAGTGGAAAAATAAAACCAAATGAAGGCCAAAGTCAGTAGAAAGAAGGGAAAAAATTCAGAGCAGAAATTAAAAAAAAAAAAGCCAAAATCAATAAGATGAAGAAATGTCTTTTTGAAAAAAATCAAACTCATTATGAAAAAGAGAAAGAACTCAAATCAATAATGTCATAAATGAAAGAGAAGTTAAAATAGATACCAGAGAAGTACAAAGTATTGTAAAGATTATTATCACCCGCAGTATGCCGACAAATTGGATAATCTAGAAGAAATAAATAAGGGTTTTGAATTGTACAACCTTCTAAAACTAAAACATAAAGACACATAAGGTCTGAAAAGAGTATTCACAGGTAAAGAAACAAAAACCTTCCTCAAACAAAAGTCCAGGGCCAGAGGCTTCACTGATGAATCCTACGAAATACTCAAAGAAGATCAAAAACCCAATATTCTCAAATTCTTCCAATAATCCAATAGGGAAGATAATGCTTCCCAACTCTTTTTACAAGCTAGCATCACTCTGATACCAAAGCCTAACAAGTATATCATAAAACACAAAAAAACAAACAAACAAAAACCAGGTCAACATTTCTGATGAATATATAAGCCAAAATCCTCAAGAAAATATTGGCAAAGTGAATTCAACAATACATTAAAAAGATCATATACCAGCAATGTTGTAGAATTACTTCCAGGGATGAAAGAACATTTCAACATATGCAATTCCATCAACATGACACATCAACAAAGTGAAAGATTAAAAATCATATGATCATCTTACTGCAGAAAAAGTACCTGGTAAAACCAACATAGATTTATGATTTAGACTGTTAATAAAACAGGAATAGAAGCAACACGCTTAAGTGTAATAAAGTCCACAAAAGACATCATACTCAGTGGTGAAAAACTAAAGACATACATTTCTCTAATATCAGACACAAGACAAGGATGAGCACTATTACCATTATTATTTATTTAACATAGTATTGGAAGTCCTTGCCAGAGAAATTAGGCAAAAATATAAAAGAATGAAAGGTAACTATATTGGAAAGAAGTAAAACTGTTACTAAATTCAGATAACATTTATACACAAAAAGCCCTAAAGATTCCTCTAAAAACTATTAGAAATAATAAACAAATATAGCTATAGATCACAAAATCAAAATACAAAAGAGTGTGTTGCATTTCTATATACAATGTACTAGCAGAAAGAGAAATGAAAAACATACTATTTAAAGTCACATCAAAAAGAATAAAATATTTAAGCATGTTTTTAATCAACGAAGTGAATGGGTTATACCCTGAAGGCTATGAAACTGTTGGAATATATTAAAGAAATCACAAAAAAAATGCAGTCATTCCACACTATGGATCAAAAGAATTAATCTTGTTGAGATAGCCTCTTTACTTAAAGCAATATACAAATTCAATGTAATACCTATTACATTGCTATTCTTCACAGAACTATGACAACAAAATCCTAAAATTTGTAATGAACCATAAAAAACTTTAAATAACAGAACAATTTTGAGAAAAAAAGAGCAAAAATGGAGATAACCATATTCTTTGATTTCAGACTGCACTAATAATGAACTAAAAGTGGACACATGGGTCAATGGAATAGAATCAAGAGCCCAGAAATAATGCCACACTACATAGACAACCAATTCATAACAAAAGAGCTAGAAGCTTGAAATAGAGAAAAAGAAATAACTTCAATAAATGATGCTGGGAAAACTAGATAGCCACATACAAAAGGGCGAAACCATGCTACTACTTTATATCATATAAAAAGTTAATTTCTATTGGTTAAGTTCTTGAATATAAGATCTGAAAGCAAAATACACTGAAGGAAACAGGAATGATAACTTCTTGGCTATTGACCTTAATGACGTCTTTTGGATTTGTCTCCAACATCAGGCAAACAGAAGAAAACATGAATAAGTGAGACTACCAGAAGTCAAAGGCTCCTGCACAGCAAAAGAAACCATCATTAAAACAAAAAGCTAATCTATTAAATGGGAGAAAAAGATCAACAAAACATACCTCAGGCAAGGGATTAATATCTACAAACAGACAAGTAACTCAATGTAATCAGCAGAAAATCCAAATGATATTTCACCAAAGAAGACATACAGATGGTCACCAGATACATAAAAGGTGTTCATCTTTTATTATTAGGGAAATGCAAACTGAAATCACAGTGAGATTTTACATTATACCTATTAGAATGGATAAAGAAGATGCAGTACGTGGAATACTATGCAGTTATTTAAAAAAAGATGAACTCTCATCATTTGAGAACATGGATGGAGCCTACGGAGATTATCTTAAGTGAAATAAGTTAGAAGGAGAAAGGCAAAAACCAGACAACTTCACTGATAAGTTGAATAAAAAGGAGCAAAGCACACTTGCAAATACAATGAACCCTTAGACACTGACAACTGAATGGTGGTTTCCAGAGGGTTAGAGGGTGGAGGGGGAAGGTGGAACAAATAGAGGGGCTTGATTAATTGGTAGCAAGTGGTAAGTGAACATGTGGTGGGGCATATTTAGTTGATGAGGTGTTAAGTAAGGCTGAAACATATAGTGTTGTAATCCAAAATCACTACTAAAATAACAAACAAAAAAAGAAAGTTAAAACTTTTATGTAATTTTTAGATTTGTGAGGTGGGGATGGAAAACATTTTTCTTGTGGCTACTGCAAAATCTCTATGGAAGTTCCCTCGGCTCTTTAAAATCGTCACCTAGAAACATGAAGTGGTGTGCTTTTTTCATAGGTGTCTTCTTGCCCTACACATATAAGAGCCAAAATCAGACTACTCCTTAGCTGCAGCCCAATCCCCTGGGTAAGGAGGGACTACTGCATAGTGAAACACCCAATTTAATTTGGAGGAAGAAATAAGCTTATAAAATGGGTGAATGAGTTATAATTCATTACAGTGAATTTCAGCAATAGTTACATTTACTTTGTATATTATTGTTTTGACTCCATTAATATAAATCAATTTAATATCAATCTCTCTTCATTATTTTTAAGTGTGACATATTTTGTCCATGCACATCAAATGAGACAACAGGTGCAGCAGCATCAGAATCAGCTTCCTTCAGCAGAGATAATGACCATCGCTCTTACGCACAGGCTTCCCAGCTCTGGGCATTATAAGTTAGCACAATCTTAAGGAATCATTCATTCTGTCTCAGTGCCATGAAATGAGCAAATAGAATTGTATCTACTCATGCAAAGGCCATGAAATGAATTCAAGGTGCTCTTAATTTGACATTACACTAAATGGATAGCAAAAGGGTTCAATATCTCAATTACCATTTCTCAGTCTATACATCAAATGATCATTTCCACTTCATTAAGAAATTTGAACTTACCCTAGGAGGTTGTATAGATTTCTGATTGGAAGCTGATGTAATTAAAAAATAAGAAAGGAAATTAATAAATAAGAAACAATAAGGCAATATAATGTATAAGATAAAATGATCAGGGTTAAAACTCTATTGCATGAGTTCCAACTTAGATGGTTTTAAAATATAGAACATTCTTGAATATATGCATTTAGAGTATAAGATGCAAATAATCCACCTCGATCAAATAATAACATATCCACCCCTCGCCACCTCCATAACCCCATCAGTCAAGACTTATAATAGTTTTTGGGGAAGAAGGTCATTATTTACTGAGCCCCATGGTAAACTCTACATCCATCCTTATTCTACCCAGTGAGAATGTGTAGAGTGTGCCAAAAACCAATATCCACCTGTACTTTGTTGTCCACCCTTAGCTCATTGCTCTTGTTTTTTGTGTTCCATTCTGTTTTTCCCTTCTTCCATCCTTCCACAGTTTTTAAAAGTCTCAAACTGCTAACAACCTAAAGAACATATTCAAATCCCTTTGAGTTTGTAAAATTATTCTAGGAGGCTAGTTTTAGTTTCAGTCAAGTCCTTTACTGTTATTCATTCTTAGTTTTCCAATTTACCCTTTTTATTGCTTCGGGATTAGTTAATGAAAATAAAGGAATTAAGGGTCAAAAGAAAATGACGACAGGGAAAAGAAGTGCTCTACTTGTACAGGGAAGGAGGAAGAAATTCCTTACAAAAATCAGTTGAGAAGGGCCCAGGGCAGCTAAAACTAGTTCTCAACACAGAATCAGAGCTCTATAGCTACAAAAGCAGCAATGAGCGACATCTCCAAACACTCTATAGGAGGGTCATGCTCCTGGACAGCACAGTCAAGCCCACTACCTGTGGGCTGGCTACTAGCACTGGATTTGCGTGTTAGTCCTCTAAGGCATGCACCAGAGCTGCCCTCGTGCCTTGTATTATTTACTTACTACCTACATCCATATTCACCTTATTAAGCTTCCAAAGTTAATGGGGTTAAATCTGAACCAAGGACTCCATTAGAAAATGACAACTTACTGGCCTGGAAATCATTTCCCTTCCACTGGAATATGAAGGAGTAAAATAGAAAAAAGACTAGAAAGTTTTCTTCAGTGAGGACATAAAAGAGAGGGCAAACTAACTAGTAAAGCACCAAGGAGAGAATAGTTATAGTTATTTAGTTCAATAACTAAACGGCATCATTCTTGTTATCAAGAGGGCAATGTAATGACTTGGGCTTTAAGAGATGCACTCCAATTCCTAAACCGCTTTCTGGGGGTTCACTTCTGTATCTGCTTTCATAAGCTTCCTATCTCCCTTGTGCATCATGCATTGCTTTAAAGTAAATCTCCCTTAGCTGAGGCACTTGGGCCATCATTTGGTGCTTGGGCCAAGCAAGAAGGAAACCTCTTTTTAAGGTACTATGGAAATTGTTTTGGAATATGGGTGAGTCACATTCAGCAGACTCCAAACTAAACCAAGCTAAATTCCAGCACTTTATTAGCTCTATCACCAACGTCACTTGGCATACACTTCAACTGCACTGTGTTCTATAGGAATATTCTATCAAGAAAAAGAGACCTGACTTACTACTACATTCCTGTTTGGTTATGTGAAAAGTCAGAGGTGAGACTTTATAGCTGAATTTTCCAGCTCACATCAATTTATCAGAATTGGTATGAAGAATTGTCAATTGACTTCTTTTCTCCCCTAATGATGTATAAAGAACAACTTCTGAGTTCCAAATATCAGGCTCAAGGAATGTCACATTTGGCTAGTCCATTAAAAAATAGCTACAAAGAACAGTGATTCAAAGGGCCTAAAGCACTGTGGCCATATGTGAGCTTACTTGCAATGCTTCTTCTTGATTTGCTCTTTTCTCCCTGAACTACTTAAGCATGTGCCAAAAATATACTTGTGGGTTTTGGATTTTTAGAAATACTTCTATCTACTGCTGCCAAATTAATCTCTACCCAATAATAGGCACGAAAGCATTGCTGAATTACATGCATACACACACACACATTCCATGTCACCATGAGGTGATGTGGCAAATACGGCTTCTGACTGCTTCTAGGTTGAGTTGTATTAAAATATGATTCAATACCCTTATACTGAACTAACCGGCAATAGCTTTAAAAATATGAAAAAGTACTAGCCCTTCCTTATAAACACCCTATGTAAATAGCAAGCCCAAATATTGTGAGTTTTAGTAAGTTCCCATTAATCATCTGTATTCTTCCATTGTTATATTCCTAGCCCCGATTTCATTTTGTAAAATTTAAATGTGCCCAGTAAGAAACACGTAAAGAAAACCCAACACAGTTATAAAAGAAAACCATAGGAAATGAAAGTTAAAATCCTACTTTTTAAAGTAACAATTAAGGCTACAAATTTAAACTTAGAAATAATGGAATATATAAAAGTTAAAATCCTTTTGGGATGTTAACTATTCTTAGTTTTTTTTTTTGAGACAGATTAGTTTTAAAATAAAAAAGTGTCTGAGGATTTTTATAAGCATTTAAGTCAAGTCATATTAGACTTTTCTAAAACAGAGCCTCTTCAATGGGTAACAATTATTTTGGAAATATTTTCAATTTTTGCATCCCATATAAACAGTCAAACTTGTAACCTTAATGTTACATATACACAGATTTACACATTCAGGTTATATAAGAAAAACACATCAATTTTCCTAGTCTACCACATTATCTAAAGAGCAACTTTCCTGTACCTTTTCTCTTCTTGCCCTTCAACTGACCGAAGGTGTGCCTCTGAATTCTGACAAGTTGATTTGAAAAGTTAATTTAGAATATTCTTAAAATGTCAATAAAATTGGACTAAATTCTTATCTTACATATTCTATACTTACATATTAAATTATAATAAAGACAAATAATTTGGGGAACTTTTTACAATTTCATTTTCACTCTGTTTTAATGTGAGAATAGCAGTGTGCAATTACACTTGTTTCATGGGTTTGGAAGACAGGTAAGTAGTGGGGAAGATAAGAGAACATGGTCAAAGGGGCGGCAGCTAGACTATACCTGCTTCCCTTTAGTCAGCATCTCCAGACCTATTGGCGACTATGCTGATATTCTTTGTTAAATGTAGTGGGCACGGGGAAGAAAGAAACAAAGAGAGGCCAGCAAGATAATGGGTTGGGAGAGAGCAAAGAAGTGACCATGGATCAGAGACACCTGGCACTGAGTGGGTACTGAAGATGAGGTGCTGTTAAGGAGCAACATAATCAGCAGCAGCATCTTCAGGAGTCAGACAAATGGTGATTAGAATAGTCAACAAAATAGACTATGTATCAACATTTATAATGTGATGCTTATGAAAGCTACCAAATGAATGCTATTGTGCTTCTAAAATCTTAATTGTATTTCATGGAATTATGAGGCCTGAGAAAATTCCACTGAGTAAACAACTCTAACTTTTGAACAAATAAGCTAAAGCTAGGAAGATTTTAGTTAAGTAGTTCAAAAATTTCGCTAATAAGAATTAAATAAAGACAGGGGGGAGGGACCAAGAATATGTAACAAATTTGAGTTCAATGATAACTCAGCAAAAACTGAAGTTTCACAAATGCAAAATTTCTTTGGAAACAATATGCAAGGTATATGGGAAATCACATGACTAACAATTCAAGGTTTGTACTGATGTTTAGAAACATGGTTCATCTAAGTCAACATAGAAACATTAGTTTTTTTACTCCATTCATTTGAGAGGTGGTTAAGAGTTTGATTTACTTTACAAATAAAAAAATAATTTTTTGGAAGGGGATTAATATCAACCAGATGGTAGATAACTCCTTCAACTTAATTATGACAATACAGTAATTTTAGAATAATGTTAACTGTGGGCTTGTCATATACGGCCTTTATTATATTGTGATATGTTCCATTATTGAGCATTTTTACCATAAGTGAATGTTGAATCTTGTCAAAAATTTTCTATAACTTACTGATACGATCATATGATTTTTATCTTTCTTTTTTGTTGATGTGGTAATTTGCACTAATAAATTTGCAGATGTTGAACCAAACAAGCATCCCTGGTGTAAATTTCATTTGGTCATGATGTATGATCATTTTAATGTATTGCTGAATTCAGTTTGCTGAGATTTTATTGAGGATTTTTGATCTATATCAATCATAAATAACAGTCTATAGTTTTTTGTGTGTGATGTACTGTCCACTTTTGGTATCAGAGTAATGATGGCCTCATAAAATATGTTTGGAAATATTTTCTCTCCCTCAATTTTTTAAAGAGTAGGAGGAGAATAGATACTAGTTTGTTTTTGAAGGTTTGGTAGAACACACTAGTGAAACCATCTGAGTTGTTTAAGAAGATGTAGTATATACACAATGGAGTAATACTCAGCTATGAAAGAGATAAGCGCTTGCCATTAGTACAACATGGATGGGGCTAAGGGGATTATATTAAGTAAAATAAGTCAGAATGAGAAAGACAAACACCAGATGGTTTCACTCATATGTGGAATACAGAGAAACAAAACAAAAGAACAGATAATACAAACCAAACAAATCTTACAAATAAGAACAGAATTGAAGCTACCAAAGAAACAGAGGTGGGGAATAAAAGAGGGAGGGTCCCGATGGACTCTGATGCACTATGGGTGCCTTGGGTGGTGGGGATAGCGTGGTAACATACATCTGAAGAGGTGCCATCCTATAATCTATACTCTGAATCATACACAATGTTGCAACCCAATCTTACCTTAACAAAACAATAATAAAAATAATAGGAATTTTTACAGAGACCTGTTACTTGAAAAATGGCAAGTTAAATTCAAAGCGTTATTCAATAAGTTATTTCCATACTTAAGAAAGAATTGATTTTTAAAAGTAGTGAAAAGAAAGTTTTAAAGTAAATGTTTTTATCACATTGAACTTAATAAAAAATAACGTCAAATTCCAACGTAAGTGGACATTGCTTTGCAATTTATGTTTCAGTGCCAGTCTACTTAGGATAATCAAGGTCTATAAACAGTCTGCAAGAAGAGCAAGTGACAGGTTTCTGTGAAAATTCTACCAAGAATGGACTAGCTGAACATTCTTTTTTATGAGTTAACATGAATCCTCAAAAATCTCTCCTTTTATTTGTGTAAAAAAATCTAGACAGTCTATAACAGAAAGCCATTTTATTTTAAACTGGCTTATAATCTACACTTTTCATTAATTCATGTGACCCTACTCCTTTTAATTACTCTAAGTCATTCCAATTTTAGAAATACAGCAGCATTCACTATATTTTCTCATTTTGTGGGTGTCAGTATATTTGGAATTAACTATAAGAATGAATCAAAAACATTTTCAAAATTAGAAATTTCTGACACAAGCTAACAATAATAAGGCTGACTTACCAACAAATTTCATATAAACTAATCCAAGTAATTCTGCTAGAGCTATAATACCCAAACCTGAAATCAGAAGAGGGCCATGTACTGGGGTGCACTCTGTAAAAACAAATGAAATTGTATTAGAAACCTACACGCAGTAATGAGTAATGAGTATTTCAAAGCTCATTAATAACTTATTAAAAGCAATGTTTTTAAAGAGAGCAATTCTTTTTCTAATTATCAAGAAACAAAAATATATTTATCAATTATTAACTCAGTCAGTCAGCAAAATGACTCCAATTATTAAAAAAAAGATGCTTTTAAATTGGATAACATGTTTCATATCCTGACTAACAACATCAAAACTAGAGATAAATGGTATATAAAACTTAGACTCCAACCAATTGGGGTCTGGTAATTAAAAAATTCTCCCACAAATACAAGCATAGCTACTTGGCTTCTAGCACAATCAGTCTGTGGCCCCAATTCCCATGGCCATGTGGAAGGCACTATTCTCAGCAAGGTGGGAGTGAGAGTTAAAAAAGAAAACACCAAATGCTGACAAGGATGTGGAGCAACAGCACTTCATTTGCTGCTGGTGACACTTTGCAAAGTAGTTTGGCAACTTGCTATAAAATGAAATATCCTCTTAACATACAATACAGGCATCATAATCTTTGGCATTTACCCAAATGGAGGTGAACACTTATGTCTACACAAAACATGTACATGATTTAGCAGCTTTAAACATTATTTCCCCAAACTGAAAGTAACCAAGATATCCCATAATTGGTGAATAGGTAAACTGAAGTGCAAACACACAATGTAATATTATTCAGTGCTTTTTAAAAAAGGCCCTCAAGCTGTGAAAGATATTGAAAAACCTTAAATGTATATTAGTAGGTGAAAAAAGTCTATCCACGAAAGACTGTATGATGCCAACCATGAGATAGTCTGCAAAATGCAAAACTATGGCAGCAGTGAAAAGATCCATGGATGCCAAGGCTTTAGGACTGGGAAGGATGACTAGGCAGAGGACAGAGGATTTGGGGAATGATAAAACACTTCTGTAGGATACTATTAAATATTTTTATGACTATGATCCATGTAATTATACATTTGTCAAAATCACAGGACATATAACACCAGGAGTGAACCATAATGTAAACTATGGGTTTAAGGTGATCATACGTCAATGTTGGTTCAACCTTTGTTTAAGAAATGTACCACTCTGGGTGGGGGATGCTGATCGTGGAGGCGACTACAACTGTCTATGGTATATGGGAACTCTGTACTCCCCACTCAATTTTGCTGAGCAATTAAGACTGCTTCACAAAATAGGCCATGTGTCAGGGAAAAAGAAAAAAAAGCTTTGTCTAAGAAAAAAAATTCACGTAAAACAAGTTGGGACTAAAAAAGTAAAGCCTTCCTCCCTGGTGGCGCAGTGGGTTAAAGCGCAGCACTAAGAAGCTGATGCCACTTCCGCATGAGTTTGATTCCCACCTGCCCCAGAGGTGACCCACATGACATGGCAGACCTCTCCTGACCCACCGCTGCTCCTCTCAGCAGTGTACTTCAATGATCTTGTCTGTTCTGCTCCCCACTGTCTCTGGTGAATCCTCTCAAAGACCCTGCACCTCTGGCCTGTACCCCAGTTCTGTATGCACAAATAAATAAATCTTCAAAAAAAAAAAGGAAAGCCTTACCTGTGACACAGAGGCTTAGGCCAACCAAAGAGAGCACATAGCCCAGCACCTGAAGTATCAATATGGCAATGGTGAAGGAGGACATCCCAATAGCTGGAGGAAGGAAAAGCATGTTGAGAGCATTTAATAAACAACCATTCCTTCTTGCATCTTGTGCAATCAAGAGATCAAAAGTATTCTTATGATATTAGACTGATTGTAGGGTTACTGGTCAGAGTTGATGTTTTCCCAGAGATCTAAACCTCCTGTTCTACCCAAGTTAGTCAGCTCCAGGTTCAGCAACCTTCTTTTTTTCACTGTGAACTGAGCTAGTTTTTACCCACAATCTAGAATAATTCTGTTTTTGCCACACATGCATTTTTAAATATACATAGCTTGGCCACCTTCTGGTGGAGCGAGCCATTATACAAATGTGTCAGTGTAAACATAATGATCTTTACTTTGTGTACCTACATTGTGATTTTTGAACAGTTATTCAGAAAGTCAGCTCTAAGACCAAAGGTTAAATGTGCAAATACAAAAAAAACTCTTTAATAATAACAAAAACATTAATGATTTACTCCCCAAATGCAGTGAAAATGACACCAATTATATTGAACAGCAATATCACTTAAACCTATAATACTTTGCTAAGACTGGTCAATAAATAACAGAAATTAGATATTTCCACTATTTGTGATTTATAGGACTGTTTTTTAAAATTTTTTTTAAAAGAGTAGCTTAGCAAAAGAAGTTGCATGTTCTATATACTTATAATTTAAGAAAACTGAAATAAGAATATGAAGATGACCATTAAGAAATTTTATAACAAAATTTTAAAAATCTGAATGGTGGGAAATATATATGAAAATCACTTTTTTACAAAATAATTGAATGCCATGAAAACCTAAGTTAGTCTTAAAACTAATTCATATGGGGAAAATGTCACTAGGAATAGCTTGGAAATTTTTTAATAAAATGACTTTTATTGAATTGTTCAAAAAAAAAATACAAGAACACTTAAACCAAAAATGATCAGCCTTTTATTTTTAAATGAAAAAGGTAGACACAATCACGCTATGACAACAAATACTCACCTATCATAAAAACACAGAACTGAAGTAATATTAATATCGCTGTAGGAATTACAATTAAACCGAGTCCGGAAGCATTTTTTGCTGAATATTCACCTGTTAATACAAACAACATTCAAAATATTTTCCTGCAGAATTCCTACTCTATGGGAGGTTAAAATGTTTTATTAAATATATTAATCTCAAAACTACTCTTATAAACCGTGAAATATAGGCATACTTCATTTTATGCATTTTGCTTTATTGTACTCTGTATACAGATTCTGAATTTTTCACAAATTGAAGGTTTGTTGTGGCAACCCTGAGTGAGCAAGTCTGTGGGTGCAATTTTTCCAACATTTTTAGCAATAAAGCATTTTACAGTAAGGTATGTACATTGGCTTTTAAACATAATCTACTGCACACTTCACAGGCCACAGTACAGTGTAAATATGACTTTTATATGCATTGGGAAACCAAAAACTGTGTGTGACTGATTTTACTGCGGCATTAGCTTTGTTGTGGTAGTCTGGCTCTGAGCCTGCAGGCTCTCTGAGGTGTGCCTCTGAGGTGTCCCTCAAGCTTCATACAAAACAGGTGATTATTTTTTGATGGTTGAACACCAACTTAAGATACCTGTCAACATCTAACTTTTTAGTTGAAGACTTGAATTAGCCCTGCCTTCCTACAGATTCAGAGCTGAGAAACTCTGGAGTCAACCCTGTAAATTGCTTTCATTCACTATATTCAATCTGCCTTAAGTCAAACGGCCGTTCTTGTAAGTTGCTTCTGAATTAACCTTCTTTCTTCCCATGTCCTCACCGACATCCGCTGCAAAGATAGCTGCCAAATTCCTATTCCTAAATCTTACACATAAACTATATTATGTTCAAAAACAATATGCTTTTCTATCTACACTTTGAGTCTCGGCCTATCTTTGCAGTTCTTTCCATATGCTCTGTACCCTCACCTCTTGCTCCCATGCCCCACCTCACAATACTACTGCTGTTTCCCACCTCTTGGCTAATGAAGTGCTCCTCTGCAGTGGGTTGAATGGTGTCCTTTAAGAAATGTGTACCTCCCAACCCCTAAATGCTGAATATTAATTTTTATGGCAAAAGATGAGTATTATAGCACAGAGCAAAAGCCAAGATTAAGTTAGGATCTTGAGAGGAGCTTATCCTAGGTTATCCAGGTGAGCCCTAAAGGCCACAACAAGCGACTCTGTGAGAGGACAAGGAGATCTGACACAGATCCATGTGACCAAGGAGGCAGACAATGAGCATATGCTGCCTCAAGCTGTGGAGCTGCACAGATGGTCCCCAGGTACCAGAGGATAGAAGAGGCAAGCAATGGCTTCTCCCTTACAACCTCAGGAGAGAGTATGGTCCTGATGGCATCTTTACTTCTAATTTCCGGAACTGTGAGAGAACTTCCATTGTTGGAAGGTACCCAGTTTGTGGTCATTTATTATAGTAGCCCTAGGAAACTAATATGCTCCCTCAAGGAATGCCCTTAAACTCATCAACCTGGCTTCCCTAATAGGAACTCTTTATCTTACCTGGGACAAAAAGAATGGCTCCAACGATGACAACGGCAGAGAGCACTAGTCCAGCAACAAATAAAAGAATGGTTTTCTCCTTTGTGTAACTCGATTTATATTTAAGTGCTGAAAAAAAAAAATTAGATGAATTTAATCATAAGAAATAGTCATTTCAGTGATGTATAAAGTGCAGAAACAAACTGATAACTTACTAATTGAATTATCTTTGAGGAATAATTCTTTCTCATCAAGTTAAACCCTATCAATTTCTTTTTCATAATAAGTCCATGGCTGTCATAATAAGTCCATGGCTGAATAGTGTCATGATTGTAGAAATGTGAATGCTAAATTTAGAGGTGATGCCTTATTCCCATTATACTTTAAAGAATGATGTTTATGTGGTGTGTATATATATGTATATCATACACAAATATATATAAGGATTTCACAGTTGAGGTATCATTAACATATTGGGCCACATAATCTTATTGGGGTGGGGGCTGCTCTCTTCATTATAGAATGTTCAGGAGGATTCCTGGGCTCTACATATTAGATGCTTGTAATGAGCCCCAGTTGTGCAAAAATGTCCCTAGGTATTGTCAAATGTTCCCAGAGGAGTAAAACTGCTTACAACTGATATACATAATGAGGATGGGAAATAACTGGCTCATAGCAACTTCTTAAAAAAAAAAAAAAAGAAATATTTGGCCCAATTTTTATAAGAGTTTGAAGTATACAGAAATCTAGATATTCTGTTTTGAACAAGTTGAATAAACATCAGACAAGCAAATTCTCTTGAAATCCTGATTTGGGGGGGCAGAGGTGGTGGTGAATGCTTAAATTGTTTATCTAAAATTATTTCATGAAACAAACTCAAAATACTAAACAGAACTCATCATACATGTTGTTGATTTTGATCTAGATCTACTCTTAAGTACCCAAAACCTTCCCTGAAAGAAAAATGGAATGGATAAACCTAAAAAATATATCTATTTCTTTTAATATATATTCATTTTTTGGGTTTTGTTTTGGTTGATGTTAAAATTAATTTTTTCACCCACAGAATTGTTAAGTCACCTGCAAGCAGACTGAGTAGCAGGACGCATTATTTCAATTCTGCTGGGTTTCATCTACATATAATATTTTCTGTGCCACTAACCAAGCGGTTACTACTGGGAGATTTTTTTTTTTTAAGTTATAGTTAGCATTTAATTTGCTTCCACTAAAATGACAAATATACCAAGTACAGTAAAGACAACTCTTAAATGGCTATTATAAAAATCTGTTAAGGTAATATATCTTGAGGCTTTATAATAATCTATTGTTAGGGTATTTAAGGTATAATACAGACACCTAATTTTTTACTTAATCTCTACTTACACTGTAAATTGAAACCTTAGCTTTAGCCTACTTAAGGGGATATGGAGAGTTACATAGCAATCAACCCTGAAACTGAGTAACTGAAATCTACATTTGTCATAAAAGAGAGAGAACCGGGCCCTCCCTGTTGGGAAGGCACAGCACTAAGAAGCTAAAGACACTTCAGCATGAGTTCGATCCCCGTCCCAAGGTGATCCACATGGTGGGGCAGACCTCTCCAGATCCGCCCGCTGCTCCCCTGAGTGTGTACTTCATCAGTTGGCCTGTTCTGCTCCCCACTCTGTCTTTGGTGAATTCTCTCACTGCCCCCTGATCTCTGTCCCGTACCCCATTTCTGTATGCATAAATAAATAAATTTTTAAAAAATTGTAGAAGAGAGAGAACCAATGCAGCAAGTTTTCCATGCTTTCATTTGATCCTTCCAGGCTTGGAACTTATTTGACTATGACTCAGCCATGTCCTTGCCATCTTATAAAGTGCAGATTTTTATAGCTATCCTATTTTCTAGGTTCCTATAGTAGCTAGGAGGAAATTCAGTGTATAGCTTACAAAAAGCACAGACACAGATAAAAAAAGAAACTTTCTCCAGACATACGTCAGGTTTTCCATTTTAATCCCATGTATATTGTTATCTAAATAGAGCTTGAAAGTTCTGCAAAAGGGTTATAAAATAGAAGCTGTTTCAAATGTACCTCACAATCAATCAACCACTCATAAGAGATACTTCTAGGTTTAATTCAGTACATAAAAGAGCTACTGAGATCAAGCAGCAAAAATTCACCTTATAACATAGCAGACATTCATACAAAAAGATTGACACACCATTCTTAGTAAAAATAAGAGTTTGAACTTCATATAAAATCCAGCCTCTTCAGGCTTAGAAAAGCTGTAGGAGACAATGCCAACAATACTAACAACAACAAATACCATAAGATACTTTTGCATAAAAATATACTACATGTTGGAGGTGGTATATTTTCTGTAATTAGCTCAAGTACTGTGTCTTTTCAAGGCTACCTAAATTCTACCTTAAATTAAGCAAACATCTCTAAAAAACATATTAGTGTGGTCTACTTTACGACAGGTAAATAAAATGATTTTCCATGTTTTCTTTAATGAATTTTTAAAAAGATTCTATCATTTTATTTGCTGACAATGACTACATTTTCATATGCACGTATGGAGGAAGCATCTTGTTGCTAGCTCAGCTGGCCATTATTTGAGTGAAGTTAGAAGGTCAGGGACCTGATATAGATACCACAAGACCCAATTATCTCAAATATCTTTTACTGGTGTTGTTTTCTTGCACACATATCCTTATTTATGAAATCTACCAAAACTTTATTATATGAAAGAGAACAGATTCAAGTAATTTCTCAAACAGCATTAAAATAAAGATAATTTAATATGTTCTTAACAGCAACAGGGTCTATTGAACATCTTTGTCTGATTCTTTTGTCTGCTTGGCAAACCATCTATATAATTTTTAAAATACTGCATGCTTTAGAAAAGCTGCTTCAGCTAAATCAATACACAAAATAAAATAGGAGAAATAACAGTATTTGTACTTTTCAAAACACAGATTTAAGTTTACAACAAAATGGAGAGGGAGGTATAGATTGCATTTTTTTTAAAAAACCAGGATGAACCTGCATTGACAATCATAATAATTCAAATGTCATTGTTGACCTGGTTTAGTCAAATGTCACAGTTGACCTGGTTTGATCTTGGTGTTACATATTCTCTGGGTTTGGACCAATGTGTGAAGACATGCCCATGATTATAATACAGAGAATCTTCACTGCCCAAAAGAGCTTCTATGTTCTGCCTATGTCTTCTCCTCTCACGCCACTGCAGCATTGGGATAAAGTGGACCGCACCTTTTATTGTTTCTACAGTTTGGACTTTTCCAGAATGTCTTATAGTAGCAGTTATAGAGCATGCAGCCTTTTCAGACTGGAATCTTTCATTTAGTAATAAAATGCTGATGGCTCTTCCTCCATGCCTTTTCATGTCTTGATTGCTCATTTCTTTCTAGCACTAAATAATATTCCATTGTTTGGATATACCACAGCTTGTTTATCCATTTGCCTACTAAAGGACATCTTGGTTGTTTCCATGCTTAGCAATTGTGAATGAAGCTGCTATAAACATTCCTGTGCAGATTTCAGTTTAGACATAAGTTTTCAGGTCTGTTTGGGTAAATACCAAAGAGCACAATTGTTGGATCATATGGAAAGAGTATATGTTTAGTTTTATATAACAAATTACCAAACTGTCTTCCAAAGTGTCTGTGCCATTTTGCATTCTTCCTGTAATAGAGTTCTAGTTGTTTCACAATCTCTTTGGTAGATTTGATGTTGTCAATATTTACATTTTTAACAAAAATGTGTAACATTTCTGTTGTATGACACAGGAAAAACATATGAGACAAAAAACTTATTTTTGTCAACAAATTATGAATTCTAAACTTCCCCTTTCTCTACTGTCGATAAAATAATTAAATCTAGCCAACTTCTCTGAAATAAGCTAGGATTGGTTCATTCATTTGCTCTACAAATATTTCCTATATGCCTAACAATGAATCGGGAACATTTATCCAAATCATACCAACTAAATGCAGGTACAAGTAGATTTCTCTATTCAATAATAATTGACAACCACACAGAAATCACTTTTTTAAGTGTTGGCAATGAACAATGAAAGTACTCCTCTCTCATTGCCCTTATTGTCATGTGTGGTGGGGCAGGTGGGGGCAGAAGAGAGCGATTAGACATTTTACTCCCTCCCAAATCTTTTTTCCTAGTTAAATAAAAGATGTGGTCTACTTTATCCTGAGAAAGCCCCTTTGTGTATTTAATCTTTCAAATGCATGTGAATGAAGAGGTGACATGTCCCTCTGGCCACCTGAAGAAACAGCTAACATGATGAATAAATTTTCTCAACTTGTGACTGATATAAAGCACATGTCAGGCAGAAGAACTCTGTGGTTGAAGAATATAGAGAGATTACCAAGACAATTAGAAGATCAATAACAATCTATCATCTTAGTTTTCATGATACCCCAAGAAGGGACGGATAACTCAGCATACCATAAAAACCAAAGTCAAAGAAATCGATGCCCACTCAAAAGACATGACAGTCAGGTGGTCCCTTGCTAAATAACCAGTGAATTACTGGTGAGACCGAGGGGCTAAGGAGTGAGGCATAAAGCATGTCAGAGCAAGAGTAATTCATAAAGGCAGACATGTTTTATTTTATTGTTACAGAGCTATTTTCTGATAACTCAAGGAAAGTAATTTTAGGACCTTTTTGGTATCTATTGAGCAACAGATCACTCTTTCCTTTGATGCGGAATAAAGCACATCTGAACTTTTAAAATGAAATTACAATTTCAAATTTTTTAAATATTTAAATTTAAATTACTATTTTAAAAATATTTAATGTGCTCATTAAAAAAACAATGAAGTCTTTGTGAAACTAATGCTGGAGAAAAATGAATATTAATGCCAATTATAAACTGAATACCTGCCAGGAGAAAAGTAAAGTAATTTACAATAAACTCTATACACTATCCAGCTTGCTTTTAATGAAACATCTTTATCAAAGTGAATATTGGGTAGAGATCACATTCCTATCCTAAAGACCCAGAAATGAAAGAGCCCAGGCTTTGGATAGCAAGTGCTTTGAATATAAAAGATTAAAGAAAAGGATGTCCAACACACTAACTTCCTCGCATTGGTTCC